TTTCCATGAAAAAGAGCCGAGCGACGTAGTAAATTCATATTATAGACTAATAATCGAACAATTGTTGTATCATCAGATCCTAGAAATTATAGGCTTAAGGCTTTTAAAGGAAAACAGCGTCTTTGAAGCCGTCCCCTCTCGACAATGGGTATGTATGAAGTGTTTCTTGAATTCTCCGTAACATTCTAGCATGATTGTGATCGACTATTCGTCCAAACACGAACCGAGAGTCATCATTCAGTCGGCGTATTCGTCAGATTTGGCTACTGTTTCGGAGAACACGCCATGAGTCTATTCATTAATTTGAGCTGTTTCTGCTACCTCACATGCTAAAGAGTCTTCGGTACACTTGGTCAGTGCTTACCTTGAGTAGAATGCCATCAAAGTTTGAAGTCATTGGTTTTAAAGTGACGCTAGTTGTTCCCGCCGTAACAGCGCACCCTGTTCAGAAAAGTCACAAAAAACAGTTATGACAGAAAATATCACAATTCGTAACATTTTGTTGGATAACCGATGAAAATCGTCTAAAATCTCCAGAAAGGCCAGTATTTTTTTGTGGTTCATGTCGAATTATATATATCGTTTAATTAAACAGATAATTGATATTGTCTTACTCACTTCGTGCCAACTAAAACTAACCTTACACTTAAAGTTTAAACTATTTCCCTTTTTATAAAATTGTCATAAATATTTCCTACAACAAATAGCTGTCAAAATATTTGCATATTTATTTGTTACCAATGGTTCCATTTGACTTCATGTGAAACGCATCGTTAGTCACAATCCAGCCGACGACGACAAAGACTAGGCGCGCACAGTCAAATATTCACGGTCTGGGCTACGACCGAGTAGACAATTCAAAGGCGCTCGCCCATCAAATGAGCTTCACGAGTGAATTCCATAATTGTAAACGCATCATTTAACAGCAATAACTAATGTAATATTAGCAACAACAACAAAAAAGTACATAAAAATTGCTATAAATATTTCGCCAAAACTGTTGCCAGAAGAGACGAAAGTAGTGGTGGGGCATGACAATATTGTTTGAATAAACTGTCAGTCGATCAATGGATAACCGTCCACACGTCTCGCCACACAACGCTACCTGCACTAATATTCCTAGCGGCGCCCGCCCAGGGGCACAGCGGCAAAGGCAAGGCGCTGTTAATAATAAAATGCCAGACTCAGTTAGACCAAAACATAATGAAATATTGTCATAATCATTGACAGTGGCAACGGCTGGTGCTTAGGTTGTTTGTTGTTGTTTTTCGATTAATATTGTATTTTTTATTATTGGCTGTTTTACGGGCTTACAACGGTTGCCAACTCGTTAAATGTTGCAAATATGGGTAGCGAGCGCACAATTGTCATATGCAACTCACGATTGGGGCACGAACGATATGCATGTATGTGTGTATGTGTGGGGGATTAAAACAAGTGCACATACCCACTGAAATGAACCGCATTGCGTTTGCGTTGGCGGCAGCAAGTGCAGCGCTGTCGATGTTAGTCGTTCAACGTACAGCGGCTTCGGCTGGCTTTAACAACAGCAATGGGGTATTGACGTTTGGTGGTCTGGTCCTTAGCCAAATGTCAATCGTCATATGTGACAATTTTACACAGTTAATGTAAGCGGCTGGGCGGAGTTTGAGGTTGGGTCGGAAGCACGGCCTGGGTACGCCACCTACGTCTGTGTTGATTAGCTTCTAAGCCATTCTTTCTCATTTAAAATGTTTAGAGCGGCGATAAAACGTGTTCGAATGAGCTATTCCTTTCCCTACACGCCCTCTAGTAGTGATCTCTCTGAAAGTGTGCACAAACCAATCTAAATGGGAGCGACTCAAATTGTAGATGGAAATGATTCGAGCTTTAGATTCTAAGAAACACGAGAACTGAGGTGCAAGCTGATTTCCTGCAGTTCTAAAATATATCATATTTTTTCTACGGAGAAATACTATAATAGATCTTTCGCTGGGTCCACAACATCAGTTGGAAATCAAGCAATGACGGGAAACTGCGGTAAGGTCTAAAGTGAGGGAGGCTTAGTGAAGTTTTTCTGAAGTATTCGATTAGAGGGTAAAATAAACTACGAGGTAAACTTTCTATAAAAACTTGTATGCTGAAGTTATAAGCTCTTGCAAAAGTATATGCTCCTCGAGTGTTCGACTATCAAAAAGTGTATGATAAATGTAGGTATTATTATATTTTAGTTAAATGATGTTGGAACTATTCTGTGGATCCGTATAATTCAGAAGTGAGAACAGATATCTTAACGCAATTTTAGCAAACACAAATGTTCACAAAATAACCGTAATCGCTTTGTTGTAGTAACTCTTTATTTGTAATCACTTTGAATACCAAGTTCACAGCATTTACGTCAAAGATCGGCGCTAGTCACCTGTCGTCGTGCTCACAAACCAGACTCGCTACCAGTCAGAGAATCAATGAACAACGACACCAAAAAAAAGAAACATTACAAATGAATCAACACTTAAGAAACTTGGGAGGGATTGTCCCAAAAGCAAACAATTACGATTGTATTTCGGCATTCATTAACGCCTTTGCAAGTAAGTACTGCATTAACCTTTAATTCACACAGTAATTAATGGGCGCTGTTGCCACCATTAAAAAAAAATTTTATGAGAATACAACAGTAAATGTATAATAATGTCAAAGTACATAGTGTTACAATATATATTTGTGTTTAAATCACAAATTATTTGGCTTTGATGCAAATTTTTATGAAGAAATAGGTAGTCCCATTAGGTTTACAAGTCCCACATCAATCGGGTCTGTATAACCGAACCGAATTTAGTTGGTTGGTTGAAATCGCTGCCTGAAAGGAAGTGGAAGCACCACTTTTAAATTTATGCAAAGGGAGCATTCACAAGCGTAATGTGCCGACGTTTAATCAGCTTTCGCACATGATCGGCTTTCTGTATATTCCGACCAAGTTTTAAAACTTGAGATCTTAGCCGAAATCTTTATCTTGATATCGATCGTACAATTTGAATGCCAGCTACATGATATAGGGATCTGATCTGAATAATATGTTCGGCGAATGAAGTGTTGCTTTGGAAAATAATCAACGTAAAATGTGTCATGCATTGAGTTTAGACACTTTTCTAGTAAACAAGCAATTTGTATATACCTAAAGTATGTATAACAATGTGCGTAATTTCAAAATGTCCAATGAGTCAGAATCGCCTCTTAAACAAAATTTAAAGAAAACACTTTAGTTAGACTTATACTCAGACACCAGGTCCAGCGTGCAGGCGGCAAAACGGTTTGTAAATAAAAAATAATTCGCAATAAAATAATCAAGATATCTCGGTTCGATATTGGCCTTCCCGACAAATCAGCAGCTTCTTGATGAGAAAAGAGCGGCTGCAAAATTTCAGATATCTCAAGAACTGAAGGACTAGTTCGCATATATACAGACAGACGGACGAAGAGACAGATGGGTATGGCTAAATCGGCTTGGCTACTCACGCTGATCATTTATACATATATACTGTATAGGGTGTCTAACGTTTCCTTATGGGTGTTACAAACATTGTGGCAAACTTAATATACCCTATTCAGGGTATAACAATAATAATAGTAATGCAATCAAATCGAGTTTGGTATGAAAACTTATTTTTACATTGTGCTAATATTTTATTTAATGAGAATTATTTAAATATATATATTAGGGTGGGTCAAAAAAAATCGAGTGTTTATTTTTCGCTTGACCTAAGAAATAATAAGAGCGTGAAAGTAAGCACTTCGGCTGAATTGCAAAATAAATAATAAACATTATACATACATACTATGTACATAACTGTCAATAAGGGTGACTAAAATATTTACCAGGAACAGTTATTTTCTATATGCTGTTATCGGTTTCATGACCCTGTTGGGTGATTAAATTTTAACAGTTTTTTATATATTCATATTGATTTTATTGTAACAATTAAATACCATATGTTATTTAGGTTTAAGGCATTATAATTTATATTATAAGGCGGCAGAAAATGAAAAAAATTTACGAGAGTCGATTTCACTATAAAAAAGTTCAAAGAGGTTAATCGCGTCGGCGAAGTTTTCGGATTATAATATATTATATACCGAAGATTGTAGCTTTAGCTTGGGTTCATGACTAGCTCTCTGTGTGGGAGGGGTTCAAATTTCGGTTGTGAAAGAATTAATTTAACGAAATATATTACATTTTCTGCTAATTTAAGTTGTATAATTTCGCAACTTGACAGAGTAGTCGATTATGTAGATTCGCGTGCGTTAGTATAGATCCATTTCCGATCTATTGAAATCAATTAGTATAAACTGTCGTATAGCTTATGTAATAGTAACTCACATACACAACTTTCCGAAAATTCGTCTAACGTAATGCATCCTTGAATGAAACAAGAAACGAAGGAAAAATGGTTAGGTAAGCCGATATAAGTCGATGGCATTATTTTAAGCCAGAAGATTTGACGCAAAAACGCTTACTCAAGCTTTATTCCAGTAAAAAAATATATTATTTGATACAAAAATCATCGTAATGTTCTAATGGCTTAATCGTGCTTTTTTACATCCGAATCTTCGGAGAAGATCGAATAATTTAAAGTGGCCTTCTAATACTTATCCTACATACTTAGGTCCAAACCAGTGGTTGTTAACCAATCTTTTGCTAAAATTTTTTTTATTGTACTTCGAACGTCGTACCTACAGCCGAAGTATCAAGCGCAAACAAACTCGGCAACTGTAGCGGCAAATCACTGAGCTATGGCGATAATAAATTTAAATGTAACTAGCTCTGATTATTGATATTATTATCAAGAAAAACAGATTAATATTGCATTTTAGGTTTGTTCAACATTGCTGCCACTGCTGCGTCCATGCTGAAACTCGGTTCAATTCCAGGCGTAAATGTACAAAATATTGCTACCTTATATACCAATTCATACATACATACATACATATGTCTTTAGTAAGTTGTATGTAGGCTTAATGGTAAATAAATTTGTACACTCATTTTTCCATATTCAGTGTGTTAGTTTGCATTTAAGTTCTAAAAATATATACAGTTTTATACAGTCATTGTTTTTACGAACGAAATCGTTTGTTATTTTTAAATCTTCGCAACTCGGCAAGTGTAATAAAGGCAGCTACATGGCTGATTTGTGGCGGAATTATGTGTAATAAATGACGTATGAATTTCATTATCGTATATTTTTTTTTTATTAAAACTGAAAATGCTCGAATTTGAAAAGTTTTGTTTGATTGGGTCTGTTGTTGTTGGGGCAGCAATCATTCGCCAAATAATTGTGAGTACTGCTGGCGATAATAAATTTAAAAGTAACTAGCTCTGATTATTGTTATCAAGTAAAACATATTAATATTGCATTTTGCGCCCATTTAAATAGCAACACAAAGTAAAACTTTGGTATTTCGAAATATTTAGTTCCGCAAATCAAACATGGCGCTGCACTTGAAACTCTTGGCGATTGCGCTTTTGTCCTTTTTCGCAACGGCAAAGGGAATTGAGTCCTCGATTGTGGCAAAGGACATTTATTCTAGTAATGGGAAAGACTACTCCGTAAATATTTTCAATTGAAGACCTTTTGCTTAAACAATTGTGAAGTGTGAAAAAAAATTATTTTGTTTCTCATTTTAGCAAAAATTCCTTTGTGGCGATAATTTTGAAAAGTGTTTTGGCACCAAATTGAAATCAGTGGTCTTTTTGAACAATAACAAATTATACCGAGTGGAAATTTTTGATTACAAGTAAGCGTTAGTTTAATTATTAGATGGACTAATAACCGATTTTATTGGTTTTCACACAGGTTACCAACAACACTGGATGACATTATGAAGGAAGAAAAGAGTTTGAAAATGGAAATAGATCTATTGGAAAACAAGTTAAGCCAACAGGGTCGTGATATTTATACAGATTTGGAGAAAGCAAATGCGGGGCACGTCGAAAGGGACTTGGATCTTTCACAGAAAGCGAAGGACGACAATGAACACTTGGAATCAGAATTGACTGAAAAGTAAGTGCGCAATCTATTTGTAATTAAATCAGCGATTATTTATTCACCTGTCAATACAGCATGAACCAGATGAAATCCGCATTGCTTAATATATTCAAAACTAAACTAAATGATATGGATAGAAGAATTCGTAAGCCGCTTAAAAACGAAACGAATGCCGATTTACCAGCTAACTGTGCTGAAGCCCTCGACATGCATGCGACCACAGAAAGCGGCATCTATACGTTGTACTTACCCGATTATAAACTTACACCGTTCAAAGCATATTGTCTGGCCGATCCGAATGGTGGTCCTGCTTGGACGGTGGTGCAACGACGCATCAATGGCACTGAGGACTTCTTTCGTAATTGGGATGATTATGTGGCCGGTTTTGGTGATCAAGAACGTGAATTTTTTATCGGTCTAGATAAGTTGAATGCGCTCACCAATGATCAGCCAAATGAATTGTGGATAAAATTGAAGGATTTTAATGATGAAGAACGTTTTGCAAAATATAGCGATTTTGCCATTGGCGATTTGGACACAAATTATGCCTTAAAAAAGTTGGACGGTTTCAGTGGCGATGCTGGTGATTCGTTGGCGCAGCAAAACGGGTGCGAATTCTCCACATACGATCGTGATAATGATAATGATCCAACAAAAAGTTGTGCTATCACTTATAACGGTGCTTGGTGGTACAATCGCTGTCACGACAGGTAGGTCCATTCATTCCTACATGCGAAAAATAAAAGTTTTATAAAATTTTCTTAACAGCAACTTAAATGGCCTATATATATGGGGTGGTGATTATGAATATTATCGCGAAGCACAGGGTATCGATTGGTTCACTTGGCATGGACATCAATACTCTCTGAAATATGTGCATATGGCCATTAGGCCGAAAGCTATTGATATTGGAAATGACGCATAAAGATTTGGTGAGAGGGATCTAACTGTATCAAGCCCACTGCAGCATTGCCAAAATGTAACCATTAACATTTTTAATATTTACGCGAGCTAACAGAATTATAAACGTATTTTTATAAAAGACAATTAAAAACATTTTTCATTATGGTTGAGGCTTAAATGGGTAATTCTGTTCTAATCACGGGAACCCGGGGGCAACTTTAGGAAGTTTCTCCATACTGCCTAGCAAACCGAATTGATTCTCAGTAGTTCTTATAGATGTTTAAAAAGTGAGCTGAAAATTACATATCAATTAAAGAAAACCACATCAATTTTGTAATTCAATTTTATTACGTATATAAAAAAACTTTTGGTAACGAGCGCGATATACCGATCCTTCAACTTTTCGATAACAATTTTTCATGGAAGAAATATTCGGTACAATTATATGTCTGCTTCTTTTTGAGATCTCTTACTTGATTTATACTCAGTTTGGTTTGCAATTTCATAATAAACAGGCTTTGTTGGGAACAACGGTTGTAAATTCGCATCGCGTCCAATATAGCAGAGTTGGTAATTCCAGCAACCATGGATTAGTTTCGCAAAACGTTTACTCTAGCGAATACTGTGCATCCTCAGAGACGCCGTGCAGGGCGAAGCGAAGAAGTTATCGCTGTTGTTGAGCAAAGTTCTTAGTAGACGCGAAGGAGTCCACGGCGACGGCGCTACAGGCCTTACAGCCAACAAAATAATCAATTCAATGAAGGAAACTTTTGGTGAGCGCATTATCTCGCGTCGTGTGCCTTTGGCTAGGTCTGCAAGATCTTGCGTTTTAACACCGCTGCACTCTTTTTTGGCCGAAACCACTTGACCGAAACTATTTTCAAAACATAATCATAACATATGATAATAAAAAAAAAATAGAAAACCGTTGGGCGGAGGACCTTCCCGTTACAATTCAGAGCTCACACTTAGAGAGCCTTTCTTAAGCCAATTTATATATAAATAAGTACAAAGCGAAAAGAAAGCATTCGTTTCCTTTGACCCACCCTAATTTACATACTTAGTTACAATAGTTACAATAATTTTATTGAGCCAATGAAAAGTGCCTTCGACTGATTTTAACGATTCTTTCAGACTTACCAAAACCAAATCTTTGTCTCATAAAATCACTATTGGTGCTACCTACAAACACACATAAATATGGTATGTATGTTACTGATACACCCTAATGATTGTAAGTGGATAATAAAACCAGAATTTAGCACGCTTTTGAAGAATTCGCCGCAAATAATTATGGGTAGATAGTAAGTAGAACCCTAAACTAAATGAAGGTATCAAATTGAATTAACCCGCAGCACAGATTACTTGTATTCTTATTTAAGCCGTATCTGTATTTAGTATTCTATTGAATATAGATACTTCTTAGCAAATATCACAAATATTCCCTGCACACATGTTAAATATATTCAATATCTGACAGAGAGTACTTTCAATTGAATGCAAATTTATATCAAACTTACAGCCCCATAATCAAGCGTTGTCCAAACAGATTTATATACGCCAAAGTGGAATTTTCTGTGCAGCACCTACTAGAGATTACATATTTAAAAGTATTGCTCATGGAGTATTTATAAAGACTAGAGACCTACTAGGGTTACATATTTAAAAGTATTGCTCATGGAGTATTTATAAAGACTGCATTATATTGAATGGAAGATGCCTTAAGACAGTAAAACATTACCTTAATCATCGTACTTTTATTCATATGGCACATATTTTGCCATAAGCCTTTATCGGTTCAGTTTACTGAGGTACATTTATTTTAGGCAGCGAGCATCTTCCTTACTTAAATTTTAATCGCTTGCGTTTTCCTACAGGGTTCGTATGCAATAATGTATAGTTTCTCAAGACCTTCTACGCTTTAATATATTTATTGTTCAAAAAACAAGCTGTTAATTAGAGTGTTAGCAAAAAAAAACAGCAACAACATTAGCAAATCAATAAAAATCAGATTATCGGCTGGTCATAGACCTGAGACTATCGAAATCTTTTAATAAATAGTAAAAATATTGCACTATTAGTCGCACAAATCGGCAAAAGCAACAATTAACAATTCTACATGGGTTGTAAAATCTTGTTTATAGCTATTAAATGAACGCAAACTAAGAAGAGTTTATGTATGTACTTTACGGTGGCTCAAAAACCACAAATATTTATTTTTTGCTAGATGCTTTGAAAAGTAGATTCATAGACACCTCTAAGAAAGTCTCTCCAGGTATGAGCTCTTAATTGTAACGGGAAGGTCCTCCGCCTAGCAGTTTTCTATTTTTTTCTTATTATCAGATAGAGAAATTCATATCTGGCTTCTAATTACTTGAAAAAAAAAAAACATCTCGTTTCATAGATTTAGTAGAAAATACCAGCAGATCGGGCTACCGGACCTTCAATACATTGAAAGAATTAGCGTAGAAACACATACACACCGTGCAGCTCATAGGGCCTTTAAGAAAGCGATGAACGATCACACGTACAGAAGAGTTTCGGTTATAATTGTCAACTTTAACAGATATTTCTGGTAGCGCTGTTTGGTCATTAATCGGTGCTTTTATCGTTAGATGGCTTACAGGAATGTCACTTCAATAACATTTTATGCAGTGTCATTTGCCAACACTAAAAATAGTAGATGTGATAAACAACGGTAAATGTTCATTTAGTAAAGCAGACAGTTTGCTGACGCTGAATACGACAAAATGAAACAAAGCTTTGAAATAGTGTAGATTGTACACCATCTTTCATTCATTACATTTTACATTTTAATAGCAAATACAAATTGTCAAGATATTATTCTCGTGCGACTATGTTCTGTACTTTGTGATATGGATGGAATAATTTTCATCATCTATCTCGAAAAGATTCTGAGGAAACGTTGAAGAAAGTGCTGTTTAATCCCGACAAACCTCAAGCTATGAACAAACACACACGATGGCGAAATTGCACGAATTGCACTTGCCCGCATCCTTGGAAATATCCTGAACTAGAAGTTAGATCATCACTCATGTAATATATAATTGACGTTGAAGGAAGAAAACTGTTACGACTTCACCAATTGCAATTCCCGATTTTTACGGACTCTACATCTGTACCAACCGATTACCATTATGTACTAAATCACAGAAACATTTCAGTACTGTAAGCTCCTCAGCTTCAGTTGCATGCAACTCCAAACTTCCTAACACCACAACATCTATTTATCTAGGAAATTGAATTGAGAAGACATGAAGCCATATCTGTATTAGCAGTGAGTGCGGATTTATCTATTAGCTGAGTGAACAAAAGAAGGGATAAGCTGTAGCGGAGTGTGGAATATGCGAACGATCGACGATCATAAATCACTGCCCAATGCAACTAATTAAAAAATTGGACACGCTAAGCTGGCTGCCACCGATCCTGCCTGTCTGTCTGTATGTCTGCCAGTGCGGCGATGTGCCTGCGAGTCAGCATGTGGCAGCCACAAAAGACTGCTGGCGTCAAATATCCACATATCCACACATACAGTTTCATTAATATTACGCACTCACACAAGCGCTTTATTGTTGATGAGAATTTACTTTCTGCTATCCACGCTTTGGGCAACGCTGACCAAGTGCCGATCTCTCAGTTGTGGCGTGCGCAGCGCGCTGAAGGGCTTCGTCGTTTCAGAGTTTGAGATTCTTTCCTTGTCGCCTCTTAAATCGTATTTGCTTATTGGATTTATTTGCGGACTTCGATAAATTAACAACGCCGAATCGTCAAAGGTGATTCAACTGCCGTTGACTGAGCAGCCGCAGCAGCAGCAGCAGCAGGCTAATGCGAGGATGACCGAATGCGTGCAACAGATCAAGAAGACACGATCAGCGGGCGACAGCGTCAGTGATTTGGGGCTGACTGTGCAGTGTGTATATGTATGTGTGCGCCACCACCACTACTACCGCCACCGTCACGCCGATGACATTAAGACGATAATGCAATAATACAATAACAATAAAAATATACACATGCAAGCAACGAGGAAGCGTTGCATATGCTTATATAGGTACCATACCAGTATACCAGTAGTATTTGGTATGCATTTTCATCTTGAGTGACCGCTTGATTGGCCACTAATTGCCAGTTGACGGCCAGCAGAGTGCCATCCGAACAGCCAGCTCGCTTGAACACAATCCACCTTATCGCACGCACCGAACAAGTCGTCGGTACAGCGCGCCTGCCTTCATATACATATAACCCCTTATGTGCTGTCCAAATAGACCTCTAAGCCCTCATATGCGTGTGTATGTTTGCGCATGCATCTGCTTGCCGTCACCGGCGTTGCGTGTAATTAAAATGAAACAAAATATTTGCGCGAAAAATTTCCATGTCACACAATCAACAGCGGCGCAGTTGCGTCAAAGCAGCGGCCTAACTTGCCACATCCCGGTCCATCATTAACCACTGCTGCTGCACAATGTTTGTACTTAACGTTGGTTCTTGCATTTCAACCGTTTAATTGTTTGTCTGTCTCTCGATATTTACCTCGTCGGAATTTGTCAACCACTTTGCTGCCGCTGCGACACTGCGCATGCGCAACGAGTCGCGTTGCGTCAGCACACATATGCATGGTTGTGCACTTGTCGGTTGCGTGAGAAGCGCTTAGCTGAGCACAGCTGGTCGTTGTCGCTCATACTTTTATTGTTATTGCTGTTTAAACTGTTTTCAATGCGTTTGCATTACGTAAATATTTGACTTTCAATTTATGGAATGAGCATTCTCATCATTATCGACAGCGATAAGGTCAACATTATTGGCCATCAGCCGCGTAGTGCATCTACATACTAGACGTACGGAGTTGGAATATTTTTGTATGCAAGCGGTTATTGTAATTAATGGAGGGAAACACGGTCCCAAACGGCTAGAGCTGGCAGCAATAAGTTGCTCGAAGAAGGCGTTGAACTCACAAAGAAGTTTGCTATCAAGAAATATGGAAACACAGATAAGTACAGATCAATTATTTGCAAAATGTTTTTTGCGGGTCAAGTAGCCGCATATTTAACGTCGTTCTCAAGTTTCAATCCTAATATTTTGAAAATTTGTAATTTTTTGTAATTTCAAACGTTTCTGAAAAATATTTCTGAGCTTAGTACCCGAGTTTCCAAACATACATTCGTCGACCTATGTGTGAACCAGCATCGATTACCTAATTATTTTTATAATATGCATCTCTAATTTGCATGAAACTCGATCAGATCCATACTCACGCATATAATCAAATTGTGGAAAGCTCACTTTTAGTTACGTATAAATACATAT